AATTCAAAATCAAAGCGTATGAAAGCCTCTACATTTCATATAAAATACTTTAATACGAGTTGGAGATGTGCGTAATTTGGAATTTTGTCGAGGTGCAGTGCGTGACATTAGTTACCGGAATGCGAGCGACCAACTATGTTTTGTTTTGGTTTAATGAGTTGAAGTAATTTTTGGACGTGCAACTTCTCAACCATTCTCAGCTTTCATGATTATACTGTGGTATGCTCGCGTCGCACATTATTTAAAAAAAGGAATTCAGCTTTTTGAATTTTGGGCGTATAGGTAATAATTTTTTATCTTTTCAGCTGGAGTCTAGACTTTCAAAGCCGCTTGGATGTTTACGTCGCAATTATAACTAGTGTTTTCTTAATTGGTTATAGATGATAATTCTATGGTGGTGAATTATGAATGCAAATGGGGTTTGACAGATTTTTCTAGAAAAAGAAGATTGGGTTTGGATGGCAGCTTTCAAAATGCAACATATAAAATAACGTCTAACCATGCTAACTTTTGGCATGACTTGTCTGTTCTTTTGACAGGTAAGCATATTGGGCAAGCATTTAAATAGGAATGTGACGTCAGAAAACTAACAGTTCGAGCCAGGTTGAGAAATGCCACTTCCCAGAAAATTTGGCACTTACATTCATTGGGATGGATCTGAAGATCTAAGATTTGAAGTTTGAGATATTTCCATAAGGACTGTCGTGAGCTTGCACAGTTGTTTTCAGCCCAATTTACTATGCCGCGCTATCTTATTCAGAGTTGCATTGACTTCCTTCTGCAAGCAACGGTAAGGTTTTCAAGAGTTAATAAGTAGTCGTAAACTAGTGCACCAGCAATGATGAGCGTATATGACCTGCAAGCTTGCTTTGCCTTTAGTCTTTTTTGCAATCTTTCTAAAAGCTTGAAGCAATTTTGTGCAACAGGATTGAAGTCCTCTCCGAAAAAACTTTCAATGTTTGAAAGTAGAATAATAAGGTTGTTTTCATTGTCTCGAGTTGCTATGAAATGGAACGTTACAGCAGATTGTATTATTCCAACAAGTCGACATGAAGTGCATGAAACTTATATCA